GTGAGAGAGTGAGAGAGTGAGAGAGTGAGAGAGAGTGAGAGAGAGTGAGACAGAAAGAGAGAAAAAGAGAGAGAGTGTGTGAGACAGAAAAAGAGAGCGAGAGAGAGAGAGAGAGAGGGAGATTTCTAACAAAAAAACCTGGGAGAAGAATCACAAACCTAAATAATCGCAAATTTGACGTGACAAAACTCGCTAATTCCCGAATTTCTCGCTACTATAAATCTCAAGTATCTGACGCGAAAAAAACCTGGCAAGTTGTTAGTAGTGTGGCCGGATGGGTGGTTGGTTGGTGTGAAGAGGTGTGATGTGGAATGAAGGGTGGATTGGCGTAAAACCGGGTCCTGCCCTCGAGCTTCTTCACCCCGCTCTTTTCCAATCTACTACAAACAACGGGGGGAGGGCCGAGGGCCCTACCGAAACACTGGATTCTCCAGCGGGCAAAAAAACGGAGTTCGGGTTGGGTCGAGGTGGGAAAAGGCCTGCAAAAGCCCGCGCGTGCGTGATGTCTGGCCAACGCAAAAACCGCAAATTGGGATACTGTCATTTTGTCAAAAATTCAGATTTTGAAAATCATTTTGTAGCAATTTCGGGTTGCCAAAATTTGCTTTGTCGAAATTCCATTTTGTGGACATGTCGCTTGTCGACATTATAATTCATCGATATTTCAGCTTGTCGGCATTCCCTTTCTGAAAATTTAATTTAGTCGTTCATTCATTTTCTAGAATTTCCATTTTGCCCAAAATCTGAATCTCGACAATCATTTTCTCGAAATTTCTTTTGGAGGATTGCGACAAAAAATGTTCGATAAATTGACGTTTCGACTTGCGGCTCGCCAAGCGAGAATAATACCGACAAGAAAGACTGTTAGCCAAAAATGCCGAAAAATGGCAATTTGTCGGCATTTTTCGAGTTCTGGGCCTAGATTTTTAGTGACCGTGGAATTGCTAGCAGAGATTCCTTAGGAATTCCCTAAAAATCGAACAGGACCTTGGCAAGCTAGCAGCGGTTATTAAGGAAATTCAGCGCCGTGAAAATCCTCGAATTTTAAGGCAGGCTAGCATAGATCCTTCAGGAACCTGCTAAAAATTGCGCCTCATTTTTGGCAAGCTAGCAGAAACCATTTATAATTTTTAAATTGAGCCCAAATCTCTTAAAAAAAAATAGCCAAAAGGAGAAAATCAACAACCACACGAAATCGTCATGCAAAAATATGACATTTGTGAGGGAAATTGAGGAAGTATTGGCCGGGGGTGGAGATGGAGATGTGACTCAGGGTGGCACCGGGTAAACATTCCCCTATATAGCAAAAATTCTATAAAAAAGGAGGGGAAGAGGCACACCCTCGGGGGAAGAAGAGGAGCACGAGAATGAGGAGGAGAAAAGGTTCTCCTCCTCAAGGGCCTGCGCAGGTGTACAGTGTACAGTCGTGTCCTCCACTGACCGTATGTCAAGCGGCCCTCAATGAGCCTTCGGTTTTATGGTCCTGGCCATTAAAAAAGCAAGTTTTATGCGTCAGCTAGCAAAGATTCTTTGAGTAATTGCAGGGGATGGATGGGGCGGGCTAGCAGAGATTCTTTGTGGAATTGGAGAGGATAGAGGAACCGGCTGGCAGAGATTCTTTGGGACGATCGGAAAACGGAGAAGAACCAGTGCCGGCTAGGAGAGATCATTTGGGAAGTCCATTAGCCCGTAAAACCCTTGGCAAGCTAGCAGAGCCTTTTGGCGACAGCGAGGTCCGGCTAGCAGAGATTTTTTGCGAGGTCCAGAATTGAAAGCAATCTAGCAGAGACGCTAACAGAACGGTGGGCAAGATAGCAGAGATCCTTTGGGGAGCGAGAAAGGTGATTAGTGGCATTCCCAGAGAGGGCTAGCTAGCAAAGATCACTGGGGGAGCCGATGGCTGTAGGTGAACCGGAACCGCCGTTTGTTTCGGTTTTCCGGATGGGAAGGTTGAGGCAATAATGTTGAGGCGAGCTAGCAAAGGCCCTTTGAGGAATTATCCGAATGCTTTCTCCGCCTCAATCCACCCCTCCCGTCAATGAATCACGCAACAGCGACACCACAGAATACCAATTCGGCTCAGACACGCCATAGGGACCCCGCGAGAAATGTATTCTAGGCGCACCCCATCCCGCGATAGCTCCGTCTATGGGTGTCTGTCGTACTAATGTGAAGCGGAATTGATGAGAGTAATATCGAGAAATTTTTCAAAAGGGCTTGCCAAGAAAAAGCTGAACATTCACCAAAATTCAAGATTTCACGAAGAAATCTGCGAGCGTTTCTTCAGAAAAGATTTCTGCTGGTCTCAGCCTTGCTCGTTGGGCTTAGCTTAGGCTTAGTATAGGCATAGCTGGGCTTAGCTTAGGTTTAGCTTAGGCTTCGATTAGGTCAAGATTAAACATAGCTTAGGCTCAGCTTAGGCTTGGCATAGGCATAGCTTCGGCTTAGCTTCGGTTGGCTTCGGTTTAGCCTAGGCTTGGCTTAGGCCTAATATGGGCTTAGCTTAGGCTTAGCTTAGGCTTAGTATAGGCATAGCTTCGGCTTAGCTTAGGCTTAGTATAGGCATAGCTACGGCTTAGCTTAGGCTTAGCTTAGGCTTAGTATTGGCATAGCTTCGGCTTAGCTTAGGCTCAGCTTAGGCTTAGCTTGGGCTTAGCTTGGCTTCGGCCTATCTCGGGCTTAGCTTAAGCCTAGCTTCATCTTGGCTTCTGACTGGCTTAGGCTGACCCAATCCTTAGCACGCTTAAAAGAAAAATGCAAATAAAGAAAGATGGATAAGGCTACAGCGACAAAGTTGACCAGGTGCCAAAAATGCCACACTTCCCAGTCCCTTTAAACCCCCGGAAAATCTGCCTTCAAGTTCGGCCAGTCAGCCAAGGGGCCCCCAACTGAAATTGGGCCCAATTTCTCTTGGAGTCTAGGAGGAGAAGAATGGGGCCGAAATTAGGGGTGTGGAACGGAACGGAGTGCGGCGGAATCGGATGGAATCTTGCCGGCCAAACTGGGTATAGACGCCCATAGACACCAGGCTGGTGGAAAACAATTGGTGGGGATGGTTGGGGTAGGGCGAGAGAGAGTGAGAGAAAGAGAGACAGAGAGAGAGAGAGAGAGAGAGCGAGAGAGAGAGAGAGAGAGAGAGAGAGAGAGAGAGAGAGAGAGAGAGAGAGAGGCAATAGAGTATATTTGGGGATCGGGGTCACCAAGGGACGTGCCTAGGGTGTCACCAACCACTCACCATCCCTCCTCCCCCGGCCAGCCGTTGCCAGGGTCACACCAGCGGGCGGATGAATATTTGAGCATTGACCTCAGACCAGTTAGGCCAGGCTAGCAGAGATCATTGGGGAAATTGCGAGGATCCTAGCCCTTTAGAGCCTAGGGCAAGCTAGTAGAAATCCTTTGGAAAGACCGGATCCTCAGCGACAACACAGATTAGCAAACTATGCTAATCTAACAGTCTCAATCTAACATGGTAGTAGCAAGCTAGCGGAGATTCTTAGGGAAACTCGTCGAAAAACAGGCTACGAGGCAAACTTAGGGCCAGCTAGCAGTGATCCTTGCGGAAAATTGGGGTATTGGATGAATTGGGTAGCTCATGGCAGACTAGCATAGATCTTCGAGGAGCATGAGAGGTACCCTGATTTTTGGTCATTATAAGCTGCTGGCAAGCCAGCAAAGAACCTTTGCCAATATTTGGCCCCGAAATAGACCCGGAATACCCAGAAACATTGGCCGTTTATGGTCATAACTGCGTGTTCCATACATACAAGATGGTGCCCCGTTTGGCCTCTCTATCTCGCTCTCGTCTCACTCTCTATCTCTCCTAAATAGAGCCTCCTCCTCCCCTAAATGCCCCAAGGGCTCAAAACGTTTCCGCAACTCAACAACAACCACAGTAATTATAGGCCCCCTACAACGAGGAAGGGGGCAAGGGGTATAGAAATAGAGCAGGGAAGTAGTAAGCAACAAGAGCTAGCCAGCAGAGAGCACTTCGGAGTTGTTTTTCCCCGGTAGCGATCCGCCCGATAGATTTAAAAAGCGAAGGAAGCTAGTGAGACCGAGCGAGAGAAGGACAGAGAGAGGGAGAGAGACAGAGAAAGTGAGAGAGAAAATGAGAGTGATAGAAAGTTCGAGATAGAGGGAGAGGGAGAGCTAGAGAGCGAGAGAGAGAGAGAGAGAGAGAAAGTGCTAGTAGAAACTCAATATTTTCATCTACTGCGGATTGATAATGGGAAGTTATCAGTCTTCCTTCAGGAAAACCCTTAACAATACGACCAGAGGTCCCCAAAAAAATTATGGTTAGCGGTAAAACCTCAGATTTTTTTCCAAAACTAATAGCAAACTAGAGAACACTTAAGAACCGCTCAGTACGTAATCCGGCCGTGTAAAATGAACCGTAAATACTCTGGCGTGGAGGTGAGAAACTTTTCTTCACATTTTTTGTGTGCTCGAGCTCCCCCTCATTCTCAGCGAGCCAATGATTAATTGTGGGTGGAGTGGCGGGAGGGGAGAATGAGATCCACCGGATAGACACACCGTTTTTTGCGGGTGGCTCGATCGCGCGCCCGGCACGAGCGACACTTTTTTGGAGAGGTTTTTTGGGCATTCCTTGACTGAGATGGGGTTCGATTTGGAAAATATTTGCTTAAGGAGCTACGCGGCATGCTAGCAGAGATTTTTTGAGGAATTAGAGGGCATGGAGATACAGGCAGGCAGAGATTCTTTGCGGTAAACTTCAAAAATTATCAAAAGCCATTTATCCGTATCGTATAGCCAGAAATAGGTATAAAATTATGCCCGAGAAGCGCTGTATATGTGTGGCAATAGGACTGACCCGTAGCAAATTAGGATAACGATCGATACAAAATTGAAGGGAATTCAAAAATAAAAATAGAAACAACAAAAGGCGAAAAATCACCGGTTTACAGCACCGTAGAATAGACTTTTGAATTTAAGAAAAACCACGGCAAGGTATGGGTTCGAAAAACATGGCGAAAAAATTATATAAGCGGCTTTTTCTCGGTGCTCTCCCGGATTGAAGCGGGCAGGGGCCGGTTGGCCGTCTCGGGGAGCAGGAGTGTGATCACGGCCCCGAGAAGGCATACGGTAGAGAGGGTAATTTCAGGGAGTTTTGAAAAGAGCAGGGCCTGAAATGATGGCTTTTGGTCTATCTCCCTCTCCCCCCCCCTGCTTGCTTTCTCACTCTCTCGCGCTCACGGTTTCACGCTCTCTCACTCTCTCCCGCGTTGACTCTCACCCTACCTCTATCTTTTCTTTTCTCATGCTCTCTCTCCATTTCTTGCATGTGCTCACTCTCTGTCCCTCTCTCTCTCTCTCTCTCTCTCTCTCTCTCTGTCCCTCTCTCCCGCCGCTCTCTCTCTCCATACTCACCATATTCTTGATCTGCGGCGCTGCCATGCCTCCAAACCGCGCGATGACAACACACAGCCCGACGGAGGCGTTCCGGATATCGGTGGGGAACACCTAGAAATCGCAACTTGGAGCGTAACGTTCTCTAAATCCAGAAGCGTATCTGAATTTACCCACCTCGCTAGCATAGACGAACAACACCATAAACGAGAGTGTGATCGCCGACTTGCCGATCAGCCAGATCATCAGCACTACCCATTCGGGCAGCTCTAAAAACGCTTGAGTCAAAAATCCTAAAGAATCTCTGCTAGCTCGCGATTTGCCAAAAGCTAGAATGAAACTAAAAAACTTACCCGCGGATGCGAGAAGACTCAAAAATGCAACCCCCGCCACGAAATGGCTGATGACGACGATGAAGCGACGGCCGAATCTGAAAGCGTGGCTCTGGGATTGGATCCCAAAGAGTCTCGGCTAGCCTGCCCCCTCCATCCCCTCCAATTCCTCAAAGAATCTCTGCTAGCCTACCCCTCCATCCTCTCCAATTCCTCAAAGAATCTCTGCTAGCCTACCCCTCCATCCTCTCCAATTCCTCAAAGAACCTCTGCTAGCCTACCCCTCCATCCTCTCCAATTCCTCAAAGAATCTCTGCTAGCCTGCCCCCTCCATCCCCTCCAATTCCTCAAAGAATCTCTGCTAGCCTACCCCCTCCATCCCCTCCAATTCCTCAAAGAATCTCTGCTAGCCTGCCCTAAAAACGCTGCCCGAAGCTTACCTTTTGATCAGCCAAGGCGTGAAAATATAAGCCGGCAGCTCGACGAGCCCCATCAGCAGATAATTGACCCATTTATTGCCGGACAGCTGGGTACTGTAGAGAGACAGCCCGAAATAGGTGAACGTGTCGCAAACCCTGTAATGACGGCGTTTTTCCTTTTCAAAAAATCGAAAAAATGACGTTTTTAAAAGGCCGTTCGCGAGGGACTCGACCAAACCTTAATATAGCTTGGCACAGTTTTTTTCGACCGTGTTTTTTGACGCCATCGGAAAGAGCATGATCGAATTAGTAGGATGGCACTGTTTTCAGAGTTTAAAAGTTTATTTTTCGGGGTTAAACGGGGCGCTAAAGTTGCCGACAGCAAAAAATTATCTGGAAAGTTACTAGACCAAATCAGTCGAAAATTTGTGACTCGGCCTGATTTTTAGGTACTGATTATATCTCTAATAGATTGCGAAGCTCGAAAATGACCGGAACATAGGTGTACCGCGTACACAAATTCGTTTTTCCGGAATTGCCGGAGCCTGCCGTTCGAGCGGACGATGAGACTAGCATAGAAAGATGCGCAATAAAATTCTGCATCGATTGATGTATCGCTTATGACCCGCCCGTTCGGCAGGAAATTGCTATAAAGCATTTACTGCGCCGAAAACAGTCCGAAAAAAGCTTAAAAAGTCGAAAACAGGTCGATTCGGAAAATGTGAAGTATCAAAACACATCTAGAGCTCGAGCTGAAGCCATTGCAAAAAAGAGCAAAAAGAAATTCGCCTTTCGAGAGGGGGCCGGAATTGAACTGGCGCGAGCTCTGGATTGGTACGCCGACCCACCTGCAATACACCACGACTGGGGGAAGGGGCTCCCAGGCGGATGATCCGGGTTCGATTCCTGCCCGAAACAAGCATCTTCTCAGAAGGCGAATTTCTTTTTGCTCTTTTTTTGCAATGGCTTCAGCTCGAGCTCTAGATGTGTTTTGATACTTCACATTTTCCGAATCGACCTGTTTTCGACTTTTTGAGCTTTTTTCGGACGGTTTCGGCGCAATAAATGCTTTATAGCAATTTCCTGCCGAACGGGCGGGTCATAAGCGATACATCAATCGATGCAGAATTTTATTGCGCATCTTTCTATGCTAGTCTCATCGTCCGCTCGAACGGCAGGCTCCGGCAATTCCGGAAAAACGAATTTGTGTACGCGGTACACCTATGTTCCGGTCATTTTCGAGCTTCGCAATGTATTAGAGATATGATCAGTACCCGAAATCAGGCCCAGTCACAAATTTTCGACTGATTTGATCCAGTAACTTTCGAGATAATTTTTTGCTGTCGGCAACTTTAGCGCCCCGTTTAACCCCGAAAATTCAACTTTTAAACTCTGAAAACAGTGCCATCCTACTAATTCGATCATGCTCTTTCCCATGGCGTTAAAAAAAACACGGTCGAAAAGAACTGTGCCAAGCCGTGGTCGCGCCCCTCGCGAACGGCCTTTTAAGCGACAAGGATCAATGAAGAAATCAGGCTAAAAACCTGCGGAAAGTACTAATTAAAACCAATAAACTTTTATATCGTACCATAAATAAACCATGGCGATGAAGTAGACGAGGAATCGCTTGTTGGCAAGGACCTCGCGGAAGGCGTTTACCCTCAAACTACGTTTACCACATAGCAAGTAATTTCCGGTTCTACGCTCTACAAACACTGAACAAACGTGCAATTTTTATGTAATTGAATATCGATTAAAACTACAATTTTTTGACATCTTAAAGGTCATAAAAAGACTGACTCTGGCCCCTTCTGCTCCATCTGGATCTGCTCAGGCTGGATGTGAACCTTCTGGCCGTCGCCACAAATCTGAAAAATTTTGGGAGTTTCTATTTCATTGTCACTCAGTCTATTTCACTCACTCTCTCTCTCTCTTCTCCTCTCTCTCTCTCTTTCTCTCACACTCTCCCTCCCTTACCTTTGTGATCCACTGTCCCATTTCCACAGTCTTCCTCCGGCTGGCCAGATAGTGTAGCGTCTCCGGGAGAGCGCTGGAAAATATCGAATTTTTGGGTAGTTTTGATGCCACGAAAAGCCACTTTACAGTGACCAACAAGGCATGGAGCTGTGTTTTTAGTTACGGCTTCGCGTTGTTTGTCGCGGGCCTACGCGTAGCATGTAGCTGGTCTGTTCCGGTCCAACGTGTGCGTAACGCGCGCGTGCGCGTTGCGTTGCGGCTTGGCAGGCGGAAAATCCATAGTGAAACATTGAAAGCAACGCAAAGAACCAATAGAATTGCCTTGCGCGTCCCTTTAAAGAGATTTTAACGCCAAGGGTATTGAATTTAACTCACAAATATGCCCATCCGGCAAACGGCAGTGCCGGGAATGCCGTGTAGAGCAGTAGCTGACGCCACGTGGCTGCGTAATACGCCATTGGAGCGACCAGCGAGTAGCCGACCAACTGAACTATTTAGTGCTTAGAAACAAGACCAATTTTGACAACAAATAATGCGACCCAAATACCGTACCCAGCCGAGCCCAAAAACCAGCGTGGCGAGCGGGCGCATTTTCGGCGGCGACATCTCGTAGCCGGCCACCCAGCCGATTACCGTACATCCCTGGAAACGGCAATTTTGACAGTTTTATGGGTGAATTTTATAGAATTCACGGTACACGCCCACCTACCGTATAAAAACAGCCCTGCAGCGCGCGTAGACAGCTGTAGATGGTGATCGAGGGCGAGAAGGAGGCCATCATCCCGGACAGGGAGAAACACGCCAAAGAGAGGAGGAGGATTGGACGGCGGCCAAAGCTAAATAATCGCGATAGAGAGAGAGAGGAGAGAGAGAGAGCGAGAGAGAGAGAGAGAGAGAGAGAGAGACCAGGGACAGAGAGTGGGAACGCGAATGAGCGAGAGAGACCTTGATGGAGAGATAGCGAGAGATAGTGAGCGAGAGCGAGAGATAGAGTGAGAGGGAGGAAGGGAAATTTGCCTAAAACATACCGATCAGACGCTTGCGTCAGCACCGTACCCCCAATCATATTTCCAGCCATGTAGGCTGTGGTCGGAATTTCGGCAAGATACGCACGATCTTCGGTTAGGTTAAACTGAAATATATTGTTTTAGAGACAGAGAGAGAGAGAGAGAGAGAGAGAGACAGACAGAGAGTGAGAGAGAGCGAGGGAGTGATAGCCTTACCTCATCAACTATCGTATGCATCGACGCGTGATTTGTATCCGAGGTAAAGCTGGAGGCCATCAACGGCATCGCCCCGAGAATCCAGATGACAGAGGCGGAGAACATGGCGATCAAAAGACGTCGATTGGACTCTCCTGGAACGTAGATTATTGTGTTATGGTGCTGCAGAGATTCTTCGAGGTATTGGAGGGTCGGGGGGGCAGGCTAGCAGAGATTCTTTGAGGAATTAGAGGGGATGGAGGGGGCTGGCTAGCAGAGATTTTTTGAGGAATTGGAGGGGATGGAGGCGGCAGGCTAGCAGAGATTCTTTGAGGAATGACTGAAGCGATTACAAGAAATCAACATACCAATCTCGGCGAGCACATCATCAGGCGAATAATTGTCCTTCTTCTTCTCCCCACTCAACACTGTGTACTGTCCATTCACCGAGAAATTCGAATTCGCCGGGCTGAGATGTGGCGGGTCGGGGATCATCTCCCGCGCTAAAAGTACATAATTTTACGAGCAAAAATCAAAACGATGGAATGAAATAGAGAACTTTCAGGAAAAACAAGGCACATTTTTCATGAAATGGACTTAACCCATTTAGAAACGTTACAAACCTGAAATTCTTTACAGAAAATGTATTTACGAAATTAATCTCCAAAAAAAGCCGCTTTCTAGTTCAAAGAATCTTTGGTAGCCTGCCCTCTCCATCCCTTCCAATTCGTCATAGAATCTCTGCTAGCCTGCTCCCCAGAAAATAGCTAAATTAAGGAAATCCTGGACACCATAAAATACTAATGTATTATATCCAATAAAGAAAATAATAAATTAAAAGGGTAGCGCGGGTCGATGGCCGACCAGCCATGGATCGGACCCCTTCTTTTCCGTATCTGGCCTATCAATCACAGAACATTTTGCAGTGCTCCCTATTTCTCGGTTTTCTCTTTTTCTCTCCGCCTCTCTCTCTCTCTCTCTCTCTCTCTCTCTCTCCTCTTCCGCCTTCTCCACCCGACAACACGTGAAATGACAAAATCAGCGAAAAATCGGTTGCCCCCACTGCTCCCGAAAAAACGGACCGCCAGTGAACACGGGCGCGTCATGTGGCCCCCGATAATTTGGCAGCCAAGAGGAAGCCGATTTAAAGACCAGGAACCATCATGAAAATCGGCGAATCTGACCGGAAATTGGGGAAATTCAATCCTATGGCTTTTTCTGAATCCGAATTTACGCATTACGATATTACTCCGGCGCGGATAGAGTCCAAAACATACAGCTTCCATTGAAATTGTGGTGAGGAAAACATCGTTTTTCGTTTCAAAATTGTCCCACCTCGCGGAAAATTAAATTAAAGGTAAGAAAATTTCGATTCCAAACAATCAGTTAGGACGGACTAATGCCTGGAAAAGACAACAACGAAAACCATGTTTTCAATCCATGTAAATTTTTGCTCTACCAAACGGTCAAAAATTCTGTTTCCGCCTTTGTGTCCCCCTTACTCAGCTGATCTAAAAAAGCGCGCCGCTCAAAAAGAATATTGCACTTTTTTTACCGTGCGTCAACAGCACGTGGTCATCCAACGTTAAAATTCCTTAGTAATCGTAATAAAAGATAGTAATCGGCGCCAAAAAATGGTTTTAAAAGCAGCGAAAGATGACCTGAGCGTTAAAATTCGTTAGTTGTCGTTTTTATTGTTAAAGATACTTGAGAATCGCAAAATTCTAAAAAATTACAACGTTCAATCCGTATAATTTCTAAGAAATGGACGATGACAAAAGAAAAATTCCGCCCAAGAAAGTCAGGGCGTAAAAGATCGGTATTTTTCGTGCGCTATTCGTTAGGCGCAGGAAAGAGGTGCCCAAAAGCGCTAGATCCATCAGCACTGCCAGCCTGATGGGGTGCGGATTTATCGTGCCGGTAAAGAGTATAGAAAAGAGATATACAAGTCGCCGAAAAGCTTAAGGAAGCTGGAAAAGGTCAACCGCCAGAGCGACTGGGCAAAGTACGGGCCCCGGGGCAGACACATCCAGGCGGCTTTTTTGGCAAACCCTACGGCCCACGGGGCATTGTCTGCCTCGAGGAATCGGGGGAGAAGCTCGAGCAAAAGCCCTGTTTTCCGCCAATTTCCCTGGGGTGGGGCAACACAGCTGCGGGCGAACACACAAAACGATCAGAGATGTTGACCCCAAACAGATAATGGCACGCGAAGGGAGGGGCTGGAAGCGGAGATCATTTGGGAGCGGATCGGCGGATCAACGACTGTGGGACAAGCGGCTATTAGCGCGGGGAAAGTAGCAGAGAGCATTTGCGAAATCGTAGGTTTGAGGAAAAGGAGGCATTTAACTTGGCAGGCTAACGACAGAAAATCAACGATAAATCAGGGCAAACTAAAGGAGTTCATTGAGTGAGTATAAGTGAACCTCTATAAATTCAGTAAAAATCGAGAAAACGTTGCTTTCTGTTCGCTGAACTGCTTCGAAAACTGCTGAAATGCCAGAAGATCCGCCCGTCCACTCTTGGCCTCTTCGCGAATTTGTCGTGCCGGCAGCCAGTACTGGTCCCACCACGTATTTTACTAAAAACAGAGATTTCAAAATATGTGTGCTTTACATAAAACTGGGTTAGTATAATTTATGACAATAACGTATACAACACACATTCACATAACCAAAAAGAATGCGAAATTAGCATCCGAGAAAGAAGAAGGAAAAGACAGTCGGACCTCGTCATCACTCGACCTCCCTATAGCCTGTCGTGGCGGGATTCACGGGTCGTGCTCCCGCAGATGGGTATAACTAAGGCGAGTGCGACCTGCGGGCGATGGCTCATCAGCTGTGTCAGCGACTTTCTGTGTTATTACGGCTGCTCGCCCGATCAAGCCGGAGCTCCGGGCTCCCTGTCTCCTGCCGCCCCGAATGAAGATGGCGATGAAGCAATCTACTGAGGCCCCTGTTCCCGAAGAGCCGAAGAATGCTGACACCCCTGAAGGGGAACCAAGAGCGCCTCCAAAACGAAGATGTGGGAGGTGTGTGCTGGGAAACAGTGCCTTGGGACACGCCCTTTTAGTGTGTCTGATCGGCTACAACCATGTTCTCCACCTCAGTGGCGCAAGCGATGCAATCGCTGTCGACAGCGCAAGGCGCCGTGGAGTTTGCTCATCTCCCTGCTTTAACGACCGCCATAAGCAAGCGCGACCAGGATACTGGGCAACAACGATCTCTGTCCCGCTCTACGAGGCGCGAAGGTGCAGGGCGCCTTCCACCCGCACCCGACGCGGAGCAGATCCGCCGCCCTCGTCGGCCACTTGCGCAGTGAGATATCTTGGCGCCATCCACCTTGCGTGTTTAGTTTCCGCCCAGTCCGCGCTGGTGGAGGATGGGGATAGGCCGGATCACAACGACAACGACTTCGACTACTGGCCACCCCGACCGCTCCCGCCTCGACTATTAAAGACATTTCTAGAAGAAGACTTTGTAAATATCCTGTTCTGCTTTTTCGGTGCTCTTTTTCGTCTTTCTTTTCTGTACATGATTCTGTCTTATTTCGTTGGGTGTTCGGAATAAACGTATCCCCTATTTGCACACCATAATCCATGATGGATAACCAGCAAATGAAACAAACCCGCAAACCGGCTTTCGTGTAAAGAGATTGCAAAAGAGCCTGGAATGCAATCTAGCATGTGCTTGGAGTTCTTCAGCAAGAGAGGGGGAGAGAGAGAAAGAGAGAAAGAGATGCTCACAAAAATAGCTGAAATCAGCTAATTTTTCGGCATTCCATCGAAACCTGAGAGGGAGAGGAGGGGCGAGAGACAGAGAGAGAAATAGATGCTCACAAAAATAGCTGAAATCAGCTAATTTTTCGGCATTCCATCGAAACCTGAGAGGGAGAGGGAGAGAGACAGAGAGAGAAATAGATGCTCACAAAAATAGCTGAAATCAGCTAATTTTTCGGCATTCCATCGAAACCTGAGAGGGAGAGGGAGAGAGACAGAGAGAGAAATAGATGCTCACAAAAATAGCTGAAATCAGCTAATTTTTCGGCATTCCATCGAAACCTGAGAGGGAGAGGGTTAGAGAGAGACAGAGAGAGAAATAGATGCTCACAAAAATAGCTGAAATCAGCTAATTTTTCGGCATTCCATCGAAACCTGAGAGGGAGAGGGAGAGAGACAGAGAGAGAAATAGATGCTCACAAAAATAGCTGAAATCAGCTAATTTTTCGGCATTCCATCGAAACCTGAGAGGGAGAGGGAGAGAGACAGAGAGAGAAATAGATGCTCACAAAAATAGCTGAAATCAGCTAATTTTTCGGCATTCCATCGAAACCTGAGAGGGAGAGGGAGAGAGACAGAGAGAGAAATAGATGCTCACAAAAATAGCTGAAATCAGCTAATTTTTCGGCATTCCATCGAAACCTGAGAGGGAGAGGGAGAGAGACAGAGAGAGAAATAGATGCTCACAAAAATAGCTGAAATCAGCTAATTTTTCGGCATTCCATCGAAACCTGAGAGGGAGAGGGAGAGAGACAGAGAGAGAAATAGATGCTCACAAAAATAGCTGAAATCAGCTAATTTTTCGGCATTCCATCGAAACCTGAGAGGGAGAGGGGGCGAGAGACAGAGAGAGAAATAGATGCTCACAAAAATAGCTGAAATCAGCTAATTTTTCGGCATTCCATCGAAACCTGAGAGGGAGAGGGAGAGGGAGAGAGACAGAGAGAGAAATAGATGCTCACAAAAATAGCTGAAATCAGCTAATTTTTCGGCATTCCATCGAAACCTGAGAGGGAGAGGGAGAGAGACAGAGAGAGAAATAGATGCTCACAAAAATAGCTGAAATCAGCTAATTTTTCGGCATTCCATCGAAACCTGAGAGGGAGAGGGGCGAGAGACAGAGAGAGAAATAGATGCTCACAAAAATAGCTGAAATCAGCTAATTTTTCGGCATTCCATCGAAACCTGAGAGGGAGAGGGAGAGAGACAGAGAGAGAAATAGATGCTCACAAAAATAGCTGAAATCAGCTAATTTTTCGGCATTCCATCGAAACCTGAGAGGGAGAGGGAGAGAGACAGAGAGAGAAATAGATGCTCACAAAAATAGCTGAAATCAGCTAATTTTTCGGCATTCCATCGAAACCTGAGAGGGAGAGGGAGAGAGACAGAGAGAGAAATAGATGCTCACAAAAATAGCTGAAATCAGCTAATTTTTCGGCATTCCATCGAAACCTGAGAGGGAGAGCGAGAGGGGCGAGAGACAGAGAGAGAAATAGATGCTCACAAAAATAGCTGAAATCAGCTAATTTTTCGGCATTCCATCGAAACCTGAGAGGGAGAGCGAGAGGGGCGAGAGACAGAGAGAGAAATAGATGCTCACAAAAATAGCTGAAATCAGCTAATTTTTCGGCATTCCATCGAAACCTGAGAGGGAGAGGGAGAGAGACAGAGAGAGAAATAGATGCTCACAAAAATAGCTGAAATCAGCTAATTTTTCGGCATTCCATCGAA